ATCTAAGTATTTAAATTTAAAAATTGATATAATTTAAAAAAATTTAATTTAAATTTAACTAAATAATTTGGATTAAAATCAAAACCTATTTAGAACCGGTTTTAAATCGGTTTAGAACAAATGGTTTGGTTTATAAACCATAACCATAAAAATGGTTTGGTTTATAAACCATAACCATAAAAATGGATTGGTTCATATTAAATGGTTATCCATGCACACCCCTAGTTATGGGTGTGTGAATCATGATTTTGTAAAGTTGTAATTTTGTGCTTTGTGAAATTTTGGTGATGATGTGCTTCGTGTGTACGTTTTCATTTGCAGGTGTCTATTGTATCAGGTTGTGCATGGTATGCGTTGTATGTTGTGTGTTGTGATTGCTTGTGGTTGCAGGTCATTGTATTATAATGTTGGAAGTAGTGATCATTTGGCTTGGCAAGGGTGTGTTTTGTTTAGACATTGTGTGAAGTATGTTTTGGTTGGCTATGTGTTGTGAATCATGTCTTGAAACGAAGGTATATGTTGTTGATGATGGTGTACGATTTGTATGTTGTTGTGGCCTTGTGCGGGGTAGCATGAGCATGGAATTGACTTGGTGTAAGTAGAGTTTTGTGAATATTGTTTGGTTGTTTTTGCAGGATGCATATTTAGGAATGGCTTCGAATTGTTTTATGGTGGTAATGCAATTGGTATATGTGATGTGTATGTGTCATGTAATGCATCACGTTGAAGGACTGTGCCTTGTTGTAAATGAACTCCTTTTTCTTGTTTTATCTTTTTTTACATGGGATTGTAAATAATTGTTACAATGGGCATTTCCTCATACTTCTTTATTTTTGCAATTACTGTTATGACAATGAGTAATGGGCTTTGGTAGTGTATGTATTTTGTATAATTTTTGAGAAATTTGGATAATGGGTTTTTTTTTATATGGGTGTTAAATGGATATAGAAAAAATATGGATGTTGGATAACAAAATGGTTAAAAGATGGATGTGGTTTAAAATTTGATAAAAGAAATTGATAATGGGATAAATGGATAATTAAAAAAAGTTTTTTGAAATGGATATTAAAAGTTCCTATGAATGTGGTTTAATTGAGATAAGAAATGGATAGCCATGGATAGAAAATAATGGAAATGGATAAGGATAATGGAAATACATGGTTTTGAAATGGATATGAAAATAGAAATGAATGAATTCCCCTCGAGAAACTATCAATTTTAGCCTCAAAACTTTGTATCACCAATCAATCTTAATGAATTTCACTGTATGAAAACTCTGATTGAAAATGAACCAGTCGCTGATAATCCTCAGTCATGAAGCACTTGACTTACCATAACGTGATAACCTGACCTATACACAGATGACTTGAATTTGAACAAACCCTAATTAAAACCTCAGACGCACATCACTCAAACCATACATACCCTGGCCTAGATGCCCTTGAATGAAACCTGGACTTAATGAGAAAATGAAAGCAACATATATTTTTTTGGATTTTTTTAGTAATGGTTAGTGAATGAAATAATAGATGAAAATAATATACAAGTAGAACAAATTTGGAGTATGACATATACTATCTCAAATATGTTGGAGGGATCCTTACTAGCAAGGTAAAAAAAACATGAAATCAAGTCATCCCTTCAAGAGTTTGGTGAGATCTACAATCTCTCGTGCACAGATCCTAAAGTTGAAGGTAATAACTATTCTCATTTGTCTGTTGTTACCTCTTTCTTTCTTGATCCTAGTTCTGGTATTCCTACCACTTTCAAGGTAAGGTTAGTTATCCTTAATATATGGCTCTCCCACTGTATATTCTCCCATATCATTGTTCCGAAGAAACACAACTTTGGTCAACTATCCAGAAATGAGCTTGTCGCGATCTGAAAATTTTCCAACAAAGTGGAAACAAAATGGGCAGGCATAGTAATCACCCACACGGTTGCCAACAAAGGGTAGGATATGTGGTTTTCATATGGTGGTATGATAAGGACATTTTGGAAAATTTCAGATTAAACCTTAAGAGTGAGGAAGCATACTAGAATTATAGTGAGATAGGAAGTGGCACGATAAACCAAATGGAAATAGACATTGAAGATGGAGTGTTATCCTTCAAATCTAGAAAAGCAAAAGAAAGTTTTTCTAGTGAGATAGTTACTCCTCGACAATGATAATCATCTCTGTTGGAAGAATTTGACTATGAACTTCCAAAACAACTCCAACTGAAGCTCTCCTCAATAAAATAATGAAGAAATAGAAAAAGGCTGACAAAAAGGTGAATGTTTTGGCCTAGATGCTCACATAATTTGGTTCTCACGGGCCTTCTAGGTTGTTCAACGATGATTCGGAGTAGCTTGCTTTTTGTGTTTGTGTCTTTCTTTATTTTGTTTTGGAATCCTAGTTATTTCCCTTTTTGTATGTAAATTTTGTTAGTTAATTAATGAAGTGTGTTTTTTCGTTTTAAAGGCTTATGCATACCTTTTGTGATCTATGTGCTTGAATACATATCATATTTGTTATATGTTTATTTCACTCCTTTTTGAATATGTCAAAGGGGGAGAAGTATAACATCATCAAAAATAGGGTATACTCTCTATAAGTGTTAGGGTGAGTTTAACCACTTGAGTCTATCACCTTTTTTTCTTTGTTTGTCCACCTCTTTGAGAGATGTGTTGTCATCATAAAAAAGAGAGAGAATATGGATCTATGTGCTTCCCGGTATGTAACAACCTATTGATTTGGTTTTGATGTTGACAAAGTTTTTAAGAGAATTATTTATCAGAAGTGCTTTTAGTTTGGATGATGGCAAATGTCTAATGTGATCAAGTGATTATGCTTGAAGATTAAGCTCTGGTGTGATCAAGTGATGGTGCTTGAAGATCAAGGTCTGATGTGATCAAGTGACAGTGCTTGAAGATCTATATATCATTTGTTGAGATGATCATGTTGTATTAATCAAGGTGTATTGGTCAAGATGAAGTTTCAAGATCGAGATGATCAAGTTATGGTGATCAATTGTAGTTGAAGTGCCTGAAGTTCATCTGATGCAGTGATCTAGTTGATGTGCTCTTGAAGATCAAGCTCAATTGTTGTGGTGATTAAGTTATCAAAGGCTACTTGAAGAATATTACATTATGTCAAGTGGTGTTCAGTGAATTCAGTGAAGATCGTTGGTCAAGAAGTGGTCTAATAATGTTGTTTATCTTGAAGAAGTTATCTCAAGTCTCATCAAAAGAAGATTCAAGATTTCAATGAAGTGATAAAGTCAAAGATAATTTGGTAAGGAACCAGAAGCTTCAGAGTTGTGTGTGTGTGTGTGTGTGAGAGAGAGAGAGAGAGAGAGAGAGGGGAGAGAGAGAGAGAGAGAGTGAGTGTGTGTGTGTGTATGTGTGAAAGCTCGTTGAGTCGTTGTCGAATGATTAACATATATAAAGGTATAAGACTAAATCTCGATGTTACTAAGGTAAATCACACACGCACTTTCAACCATTTGAAAATCCTCTCTCTTTTCATTAAAATTACCAAAAAGTTTATTGTGCCAAACTAATTGGCTAAGAATTTGAAAAGTTGTTTATGAAAGAGTTTTGCACTAGATAACTGATTAGCCCTTAGACATAATTGATTATTCCTATTGTAATGCCTCAATAATCAACTATTATGGTAAATAGTCGATTATGCAATGACTTTTTTTAAAATCTTCCATTTTTGAACTTAATAATTGATTATTGAATATACATGATCGATTATCATCCTTTAAAAGCCCATGAATTGTTTCCATATTTGAGTCACCTCTTGTTCTATAAATAGTGGGCTCCTTTCTCATTACTCACACACCAGAAATCGTATTTGAGATACATTTCTCTCCCTCCCCTATTCCAATCTTTTTTCTCACATTTGCCTTAGTATTTTTGAGAGTGAAGTATTTATATCTACGAGGGATTTTGTCTGGTGTAAGGGCATTATTGTAATTTTTTATTGGAAGAAAAATTGTTTTGGTTGTGAGTTAAATCCAAGTGAAAAGCTCCTATTTGGTTATCGAGGTAAAGTAGGTCAAATCTTTGTTTTGTTAGGGAGGTCTTTGTAGTTAAAACTCAATTGATTCATAAATTTAGTCGGTTGTTAAAAGATATTGGTTGGTTGTGGAAGTCTATGTAGATAAAACTCTATTGTTGGTTAATAAAGTCTGTCAAAAACTTTTCATCATCATAGTGGAAATCCTCGAGAAAGAATTATTGAAGAGAGGAGTATGTCACTTCATTATACCAAATATTGTTTTTCTCTCTTCCCTTAATTCTTTACTTTTTTTTATTTTTCTTATTTTCATTGTTGTTCATCTTGTTTGTTTTAACTATGTTTTTGTTAAAGTTTTCTATTTGAAAATAATTTTTCAAACCCAAATAATTCTTAACTATATTTTTTGTTAAAGTTTTCTATTTGAAAATAATTTTTCAAACCCAAACAATTCACCAAGGTATAAATAATTTGAAAATTAACTTTTTTTTATCAAAACTATATGGGACGTTAACCATCTTTTTTCATGCATGCATGTATCAAACGTTAACCATTTTAAATTTGTGCAACTTATTATTCATCAGTAAAAAATGACACATCCAATCAAACAATATTGACTTTTATGGTTAAATTAGAATTTAGGATTTGCAGATTCAGAGTCAAATTGAGGCATCAACTCTTGTTTAAGAAAAAAACGAATTATTAAAATAGAAAAGTGCTTTGTCAAAGCAATACGAGTATCCAAAGCAATACGAGTGTCCAAATCCATGTACCAGAATGTATTACTAGACAAAGCATAATTTACTTGCACGCAGACAAATGTCAACGAGACTCAATGAAAAAGAAAAAAATTAAGGACTAAAGCACCTATGAGTTGCATACATGGGCTACACCAAGGTTTTTCATTAAAACATTTTCCAAATCCTAGGGCAACCCATGATAAAAATTGACCTTTCTATGTCTACTTGAACATTCTAAAATTTCAAACATTCTAATCTTCTGATATGTTAAACAAGAACTTTGGAAGAGATGCGATACGAGGGAGATTTTGAAGCAAATCTCCGAATGAGTCTTTCCTAGACATGCCCGGTGCCTGATGGCCACCGTAAACATTTCTCGAGTCCTCTTCAGCCGCCTTCGTATCTATTTTGATTTTGTTGCTCTGCATTGACTCAAGATCATGAACAAGTTGAATACTTATTTCATCATCAGGTCCTTCAAGTGAGCTCTTGTTGTCATGCGAATTGTCATGTGAATTCGGCACTGCTACAGGATCCTTTTGCAGAAGACAGCAAAGAGAATTGACCCTTGACATAAGTGATATTTCGTCAGAATCTGTTGTAACATGATTGTCATTAAGGAGGTGATGTGCAATGTCCTCCAGCATTACATTGTAGTCCATTCTTTTAGCAGGAGATGATAGATTCCCTGAGGCCATTTCTTCAGAAAGGTGATGTTCAATGTGGCCAATAAAATCGCTCATTGACATGGACGGACGAAGCCCTGGCAGTTTTATTTGATCCCAGTTTTTTGGGCCCTTCGAATCAGCTTCAGAACTATTTATCCCTTCTGTTGCACACAAGATGAACATAGAAATTCAACTTTAAAATTTAGATAACAAAACACATATTAGGTTCAGTATGAAGACATGCATAGCTGCACAGAGAACTTGTACATTATATTTAGCAAGCTAAGCATATTGCATAAATGATGAACTTGTCTGACCATCATAGATTTTATGACTGTACTCATATTTGACAGTGTTGAAAGAAAATTTTTATAATCTATCAGCAGCAAAGCAATGCTTTTCGGTACACAGATCATGGTATTTCTTTGATATTTGACTAATATTTTAACTGTGGAGGTAACAAATTCCTAATATTAGTTACTTGAAGTTTATGGCTCTCAGTACTCAATAGAACAAGATGATCCTAAGAGGCAAATCTACTAATGAAACCCACCAATAATCCATCCATCTGCTACTTGATTTTCAATGCCATGCATCATCCTTTCATCTATAAATTTTCAAATATTAACCAGCAAGCAAAGAAATGTTCAAGAGAAAAAAGTACGTTAGAATTTAAGTCTAAGACACGTGTCACATGTGAATACCCTGTATAAAACTCTCACTCCAACACACATAAACTCAACTCTCTGACACCTACACAAGAGGAAGGTGCTTCACAGCCAAGTTCCTTTCGTTCAAAGTTCTTGTGGTTAAGTAAAAATAATAGGTCCAATATCAAAGCCAATCAAAATCAGATCCAATTTCTTTTAGTACCTGAACTAGAAGAAGCTGCTTCACAAGGAATGCTGTCTAAGGTAAATGATGGTGACAGGGATGAATGAGGAGATCCCGTGTTCTGAAAACGAGACGTTACTGATCCTTTGCCACTGACTTGATCCAAATCATATTTTTTTAGATTGTCATGGTTATCAAAAGCAAAATCATGATGAGGTGAATCCAACTTTATCTCTGGCTGTTGGCTTAAATACTTAAGACGTTCGTCACACTGGATGAGCTTTTCAAAATGCTTGATCAACAATCCTTGTTCACATTGCAAAAAATGCTTCCTACAAATTAAACAACCACAAGATAACGTACACATTGCAAAAAATGCTTCCAACAAATTAAACAACCACAAGATAAAGTTCCCAAATACAAAGTCCTAGTATAAATATGAGGAATAGGAAGTAAAAACATAGTACCAGCCCAGCAAAGTAAAAATAACAAATTTACACCAAGTGTTGTATGAGAAATAGTGGGTTGCGTAACGGAAGCCACAATGTAGTTGAAATGCAAATAATTGAATGTAAAATAAAGCATGTTGCACATAAATAAAAGTTGCGTGAACATAAATTAAAAAAGTAATTGACATTAAACTCAAAATATCAATAACTCACACAACTAATAAAGCATGATATATAGCTGCATACATTGCAACTAACAAAAATTTAAAGTGACTTTAAACTCAAAATATAAATAGTTCAAATAACTAATAACCAGTAGTTCTAATTAGTGATAAAAGATAAAAAGATATAATTATTCTTCTCTTCTCCAACATAATCATTATGTGAACAAAGTGAAGAACCAAGGGTTATTAGATGATGAAGACAGCGGTTACCTTCTTTTTTTTCTAAAGAGGTGAGTTGTGTCATTACTAGGTAATGGTAGTGAGATATTATACATAATACGCACTAACCAACTCACCTATTCAGCTTGTATACTTTTTAAATTTTCTAATATTTTAATTTAATGTTTTAAAGAATTTGGCTACACTTCAGATTTTCCACTTATTTTAATTTTTAAAAAGTTTGACCAAAATATTCATTGCATACGTTGTAACCAATATTATCAAAACCCGCAGCTATAGCGCAAATAACGAAGTTGACATATGTATTAATTTTAGTATCAGCTACCCCAAATTCCAATCTATAATAGCTTTATAAATGTGACATTCCAGTTTTTTAACAACACTAAATCATAATACAATAACTCATAAATGCTTATCTACAACAAGGAGTCATCTAAAGCCCACAAATACTATAAAATTTAACCCGACAACCTTAAAAGTAATATACCTGGATTTGATAGCCTCTCCACCGGTAAAATCGGTCGCTGTTTGCCACAATGTATGCTTTCTAGGTTGAGGATTAGTCTCCCTAAAGAAAAGAGGCTGTCTAGCAACCTACAATACACATAATATCATTTAAATCAATGAAAACCGTACAATTACCCATGCACGATCGCATATGTGATTTGCACATTAAAGAACTATCAACTCAGCTAACATAGCAAACACAAAAAAATGGGATAACAAATTACCACTATAGACAATGTGCTAGGTCCGTCATCAGGACAATTTGCTTTAAGTGCAGTAATATCTGCCCATTGGATTTCAATTTTACTCTTCAGCTCACCCTCAAGAACTTCCCAAACAAGCTTCTGTTTGGCAAAGTAACACTTGGCCACTAAATCACCTTCATGTTTTGAGATATACTGCAATAAAGACAGTTTACATACATGAGTTAAATAAATCCATTCAGAAAAAAAAAACAATTTCCCGAACACAAATCATATGTAGAATCTCGAATCTACCTCCCATGAACCAATCCTTAAAACCGTAGCTGGGAAATTCGAAGCCTTAAGCTTTTCAACAGGACCCCGGCTCTCCTTTTTCACTCCAGAGCTTATATTATCATCCTTCGTATTTGAAACAACCTTATCCCCTTGAGAGAGCTTCGCTTGAATCAAATCTAACAGTGAAGGACTCTTCCTAAGACTTAAACCCAAAGGACTAGGCTCATCAAGGATGCTATGATCTTGCGAAGGAAAACTGAAACAAGAACCATTTGAACTACTCCATTGCTAAACAATAAACAAAACCATAAACAATGAGAAAAGAAAGTCACAAACAAAACTGAATGAATTGATTCAACAAACTTAATGAGTTGAACCTAAGACCTAATTGTACAGCAGAAACCCTAAATTGCAGATTCAAATAATCAATTTCGGAGGCAAAAGCGATTCTACAGACAATCCAAACATATCAAAATCAATTTTGATTCTTCTGAAAAGTAGAATCAAACGTAACAGTAAACATGATTAAAACTAAAAAAGTAAAAGCGTAATGCAATAATTAGAGAAAGAGAGATACAAACTTTGCAACGCTTGTTGAGAGGAGCGTGTTCTTCTTCAAGCGAATCCTCGATCACAAAACTGACCTTCGATTCCGAACCGTGATCCCTTAAACCCATAAACTGAACCATCAATTGGAAAATCGGAAATTGGAGTGACGAGAAGAAAAATCTATGACAGAAAATTACAGAACGTAAACCTAACAGAAATTATGCGGAGAAAGAGAGAGAGTGTTTGGATTATTATATATGAAATTTTTACGCGTATAAGATTTAATTAAATGGATTTACAAAGGAAAACGAGGATTATTTCCTTTCGTGTTTTGTGCTGAGTTGGCAAATACATGTACAAATTCATTCATAAAACAAAAGGTAAACTAATAATTACAAACACGTGTAAAACATTGATTTAAGGGAGAAATCAATGGTTATGATTTGTTTGGGTGATAATGATTGACTCCTCCATACAAGAGATATTAGACCGGGTGTTTTGTCCGTGCAATGTATTTATTGAATTAATTAATTAATAGTATTTATTATTATTATTAAATAAATAATTTTAAATATATTTATAAGATTTTTTTTAATAAATGCAATTTATTGAATAAAAAACAAAAACTAATATAAATCTAATTTTAAAAAATTTAAAATTGACGGAATGAATGTTTTTTAGAGCCCAACACTTTCCTTGCTTAGACCTACAATTCAAGATTTTTCTTGCTCAGACCTACAGCCTAAGACTTGTTTAATTAGCACCTAATCAAGACTTTTCTGCTTAAATCCTCATATCCTAAGACTTTTCATGTTTAAACCTTTCTGGTTAAAGACTTCACTGCTTAGACACTCTGCCTAAGACTTCTCTGCTCAGACACTCTGTCTAAGACTTCTCTACTCAAACACACTATTTAAGACTCATTTGCTCAGATTCACAATCTAAGACTTCAGTGCTCGAGCCCAATGCAAGAGACTTTTATCTAAACTAACTGTTTAGAGAATAAATAACTTACAACAACACTTGATTAACAATCATAGGTGTTCAAATATAACACAACACACTTTGACACAAAGGACTCTTAAGTTATACAAGAATAAGAACTCTTTAAAAAATTAGCTTCTCTTGAGCTTATATGAATGTAGTGCATGTATATCTCAATTGTAGTTGCAGCGTTATTTATTGAGCTGATCTTCCAATATTCTGCTCCTATTATAGCTGAAGAAATATAGTCATTGAAGCATCCTCAACGGTTATAATCAGATCAAATCTTCTAGTACATCATCTTTTCCAATAAAGCAGGTGTTGGAACTCGTAGTCAATAAATTATCCACTGAACAAGGACTTTGTCCAGTATTACAATCGTGCTTTGCAAGTATCAGTGATGTGCAAATATGATGTGTTAGCCAGAGTGCTAGTGGGCACTAGGTACTCTCTCAATGGCATGCCTAAGGTAACATTTGCCAAGCTATCTTTTTAAGGGACAACAATGACACCTAGTGCCATAGTAGTCAAGGAATTTGATGGATCTAAAAGAACGGTGATCGGGGAGGTATAGCTACCTATTCAGATTGGTCTGCATGTGTTCCAGATTACTTTTCAGGTCATTGAAATCAATCCGGCCTACAATTGTTTGCTAGGAAGACCCTGGATACGTGCCACATGGGCAACGATTTCTACCTTACATCAGAAAATGAAGTTTATTGTTAATGACAAACTCATAATCATATTCCATGAAGAATATCTTTTAATCAGTCACTTGTCTTCCTTTTAGTATACTGAGGCTGATGAGGATGCTTAGGAAATGCCTTTCTAACTCTTGAGATAGCCAATGCCACTTTTGTGGAAGAAAATGACCTCACCGAGAAGGCAAGCTTATCCTTCGCATATTTGGAAATTACAATGTCAACAATAGAAAGTGGAATCCATGAAGGTTATGGACAAATAATCAACATCTATGAGAAGAATTATCACTTTGGTTTAGAGTATGTGCCTTATATCAGGAGATAAGCATGAGCCCCTGCAAAGGACCGTGTACGAAGGATCCACGGAGTATTCCTTAGCGCTGACTACATCCACAAAAATTGAGTCAATGTTATTGAAGACAACACAATGGAGGAAGAAATGTCAAATTTGGTATGTCGTTGTGAAGTTTATTTGAACAATTGGGAGGCAATTGAGTAAAAGTCATTTGTTCAATTCTTATTGTTCAATTATTTTTGTTGTCATTCTTTTAAGAAACTGACAATCTTTTCAAAACCACAAAAATGTTTTTCTTTTTGCATTTTTAATTTTCACTTTTCTAGAAGTCATCATTTAAAAACATGCAGAATAATCAAAATGACCTAGCTCTTAACAACATGCATCTTGATCTCTACAAATGCTCATTTTCCTACACCCAGTTAGGTCATTTTGTTGAGATGTGCAGAACTCATTAAACTAATCTAAAATAACCTTTTGGCCTTTCTTGTTTACTCTTTCACCAACATACTCTAATCTTAAATCTCGTGACTTTTTTTCCATGAAATCCTTTACTAGTGAATGATGAATGACCAATAACAGTTTAACCATCTAAAATATATAACCCACACATTTTAGACCCTTTAGCCAGGATTCACGTACCTAAAAAAATTGCAATACCCTATGTTAAAATCTAGTGCAATAGCCTCAATCATTAAGCATGTTTATGGACAACATATTTCACCTCTGTTCGGGATCATAACTCACACCGCGCAGAAGGAATTCACGGTTATCAAATATTTTGTCTAAATGCATCAATACCTTGAACTTTGCAAGCCTTATTATCACAAAGTCGTACAAATCCACTTGCTTTCAGCTCCAAAGTCTCAAAGTATTCTTTCATATGGTTCATGTGATAATAACATTTTGATTCCAGATCCAACTATTCTCTGTTTCCAAACTCGTCACCACTAGCGCACCGACACTTTCATAACCATCCTCATTTGAGATAACCATAATTAGAACATAATCCTCCTTGTCTTTCCTCTCAGAACAGTCCTTCTTAAAGTGGTTTCTTTTATGAAAAATGAAGCATTTTAACACTGACTTATCAAAACCCTTGAATTCGCATTTCCCTTTACTCTCACTCTTTTCTCTTGAAACACTCAAGCCTTCACCATTATTGTCAACATTAACATTTTTCACCATTGAAAGCTCGTCGGAGCTCACAGTTGTATAAACCTCATTCAAAGTGATAACACCTTCCTTAACATAAATAAATAAATAAGTCATTGAAATGCTTAAAGGATCTGAGTAATGAGTTTAACAAAAGTAGAGTCTTGCCCACATAAATCCTTTAGGCATGAATCCTTTGGTGTTTTCTTGAAATGGTCAGGTGGCAAATTGTTGTTTATTACGATGTAGAGTTGTCTTATTCTTTACTTGATTAATACACATAAGGAGAATTTGTCGATTGAGCCTTGCAAACATTTTATTGATCGCATTTTGGAGAAAGATATTTGTTTCACTCCATACGACAAACACCATCAGACATGCCTTTAGAGGAGATTTACTATTACTCTAGATGGCTAGCATTTGAGACTTGACTTATGTACCCACATCTATAATAACGAATATGCAACAATTCAAACATTTATAGAGTATCCATATGGACCCCACATTAGTTAGGCCTTCCACAGTCTATCGTAAATATGTTAATGAGATATTTACAGACTACCATAAGTATTTGGTACCAAAGGATATAAGAAACACGTCTACTAAACAAAGAAATATGGCACATGGTCTTTAGTGAAAAGGGTTTAAATAATTGGTCATGAAAAAAACTTACGCTTCAGAAATTAATACCCTTAACTATTTATCTTTTAGACATATAAATTGTGTGATTCTCTTTACCATTTCAAATAAACAAATGATTGTTTATTGATTAGCGTGCGCCTAAAAAACAACTTTTATCGAGGGCGAATGGTGTATTTTCATAATCAGTAATGTTATGCTTACACCATATTATATACCTACATCGTACGCATTGTTCACAAATACGGTAAACAGTATTGTGAACAGCGAACATTGCCTAAGAGCAACTTTAACGCATAGTTGTTAAACCAAAATTTTGTATAGCTTACGTTAGTAATAAGAAATTTGCATTATAGTAGAGCTGACGTGGCATATGGGATGATGCTCTAAAACTAGTTTACGTGCTCTACACAAGCAACGTACTCTAACTCATTATTTAACATAAATAATAAATTTTTATTAATTATTTAACATAAATAATAGATTTTTATTAACCATTTAATATCAAGTTTGAATTCTTTATAAATAATCACCATTGAAGTAAAAACTTCTTAATTCAATTTTGGATTGCTTAAATCCTTCATGTCAATTTGGACCCACGTAAAATAACTTAGTTCATCCAATTTAGTTGTTCTCATTAAAGATGCTCTAAATAATGATGTGAACAATGTCATATGAACAATACAGACGTGTGTGAATAGTAACTGTGAACAGTGTTCGTGCAAAGTACGTGAACAATGTCTTTTTATAGTAAAACAAAGTTGGTTAATGAAATGTAAAAAGTTGATTAATGAAATGATTTAGTTGGTTAATTAACGCTCAGATATTAAAAATATTTTTTAGTAGTAAAATAAAATTGATTAATTAAAAGTAAAAAGTTAGTTAATAAAATGATGTAGTTGGTTAATTAACGCTCAGATATTAAAAATAATTTTTTGTAGTAAAACAAAGTTGGTTAATGATATGTAAAATGTTGGTTAATAAAATTATGAAGTTGAATAATCACAAATTTTATATCAATACCCTTTAATTTTAAAAAATATATATATTATTTTTTTAAATAAAATAAATTATTATTATTATAATATTTCACTGTTGATCGTATTGGTGAACAGTGAAATACGGTATAGGTGTATGAATAGATGTAAGAATTTAACTTCTCTTTCATAAATTCGTAGAGTTTAAAAGAAACTCGTAACTTCTAACCTCATTTTCCTTTTCTCTAAATATTTTAGTTAACTAAGACTCTCTTTGGTAAAACTAACTTATAGCTGATAACTGATAGTTGGTAGCTGATGATAGCTTATAGCTGATGACGAGTAACTGATAAATTAATTTGAGTGTTTGGTAAATTAGTTGTTATACT